ACAAACAAACCAAATTCAAGAACCAACAAATTGAAACATGACGGTGGCAGGCCTGTGTGACAGAGTCCATGTCGGAATCCACCATGTGGCCATTGTTCACCCCAGTGAGGCCGCTGAAAGGAAGCTCTTCCATCCGGCTACAAAGCTGGCACGACGGTGATCCACTGACAGCCAGGCTAGCAGACAGCTGGCACGACAGTCTCAAGTGATCCACAGACAGCCAGGCTAGCTTGAACCATGAGAACAAGTAAATCACAGCTTACACGAACCAACCAGCAAACGGATGCCCAAAGATCCGACGATGAGCGAACCCCAAAAGATCCGACGATGAACTCGCCCCAAACGATCCGACGATGAACAAAACCCAAAAGATCCGACGATGAACGAACTCCCGGAGATCCGCCGATTTCGCCAGAAATCTGCCGATATCCATTTGCATGGGTCAATCCCTCCGCAACATCTTATGATTCCAAGAATTGGAAATGTGTCAAAATCTTCAGAAGTCAATGTTTCAAAATCAATGCCCGAGATCCGCATATTTCGCCAGAAATCTGCCGAGATCTAAGGGTTTCAGGAAAATCATCCGATGTCAGCCCTTGATTTTCAATCAGTGAGATCCGCAAAATCCTTCAGTCTCCTAGGACTTGGGTAGATTTCGCCAGAAAGCTTCCGATCTCAGCCCTTGAAAATCAATCATGGACATCCGCAGATTTCACATCGTCATATTAGTCATAGTAAATATTTTTCACCCAGGCTCAGAGTCAGACAGAGCATCTCCCACAGGCTTGCTATGCAAACCCATCCCGTTCAGCCTGTTTCAAGACTGAGTGGCTAATGGCCTTGCAAAGATCGTGAGGGTAGACTTGGGCAGCTTTGCTGCGGCTTACACCTCCCTCAGATCCTTCAATCGGACGGTGCTTGTGACCCCCAAGCACCTCTTCTGCCCAAATTCTTCGAAGATAGCTGGGCAATTGGTGACAAAAACAGTCGCTTTTTGGACTGGGGCAGCATCTTCCAAAGACACCAAATTGTAGCGGCACTGGTCAAACACCACTTTCCCATCTCGATCAATCAATTTCTTCACCTTAAAGAGCAAGGAAATTCAAACAGAAGCAAGGAAAATATAACAGAAGCAGTGGGACTTGCTGGCTAGCTGCATTGGCACGACTCCAGGCTTGTGAGCCCTCTGGATTCTCAATGCAATAGTAACGCCCACACATATGTTGCAATTCAGCCAACCAAGAACTCACATCAATCAGCCGCAAGGCATCATGAAGGTATTCATATTTGGAATTGGGATCCATCTTCGCCCAATTGCAATACATATACTTGCACAGTTTGGTGCATGGCGGGCTCATCATGAGGAAGTATGGCTGCTGGGTGGCCACATCACTCACCAGGGCATGTTGGATCTCAAGCTTGGAGAGGTCAAAGGAGTTCACCAAATCGACACTGCGGAGAGAGCGCCCGCCCAAACTCCGAAGGACTGGTGCTACTCGCGGGGCGGAGAAAACCTCCCACAAGTGGCATCGACGGGCAGAAGGGAGATGCTCAATCTTGGAAAGCGTTTCCTTGATGTCCACAAAAGGAAGGTCTGGCCTGAGAGGAAGCAATCAGACCAACATCAGACAACTCAACCCCCAACCCTGCAGGCCCCGGTTTTTGCCACTTTCTGTATACAAGTGGCTGTCCGACAAAGCCCTGGACAGCAGCCAGATAGTCTTGGGTGGCTTCAGTGTAAACCTTGGGGGGGTTGGCCCTGGCTGACCTTGAGCAGCGCTTCTTGGAGCCAGGAATGGCTTTGACCTTGGTCAACGGTTCCTTAGCTTTGGCCTTGGCCACACCTGTGTGCCGGACTTTCCCCACTTTCCGGCATGGTTTTGCAAACCGTGGGTCATCAGGCAGCACGCATGCGGATACCTCAGAGGGCTTCTCAGACAGCCTGCTTGGCGGCCACAAGGACAGGTCCAGCCCCGCATCATCATCCGGCAGCGCCACAAAAGACATTGGCCGCCAGTCTACTCCTGGTCCTGAACACTAGACAAAGCTCGAAAATTAACGCTGCCTCAACAAAAGTTGCGGTGCTCCAAAGCAGTGGCAGACAATAATGAACAGTTCCATGGTTCCATGGTGTGGGTGAACTGTGAAAAGTTTTCACACAGCGCTCGACATCACGACCGCACTAAGCTGCGGGGACATCCACACCTTCACATTCAGAAGGTTTACATTCCACTTCCAAACTGTCTCACAGTTTGGCCCCGACCCACTTGAAAAGGGGCAATTGCCTCAGCCAAGCCTTGACCACACAAAAACTGCTTTTCCAAGTAAATGATTTAGATATCTGTACAGCAATGGCTTGAAACAGGTTAGCTTCAGCGGACATTGCCCAAATCAAAACCAAATCATTTCCCTCGGCCGCGTCCACGACCACGATTTGCGTGGTCTTTGCGGCCTTTGCCTTTCCCCTTGGCAGTCGAAGGGGCAAGGTTAGCCCCTTTACCGCGACCACCTTTGCCTCGTGGGCGGTAATTGGGATTCTTGCATTGAGCACAACCGCGCGGGGCATATTTGCATTTGGTGCACCCCAGTTTCCTCTCAGCAGGCCCACAGGTTTCTGCAGGAACGTCAGGCGGCAAAACTACAGCTGGCACAGGAGCATTGGAGGCATGTTCTCGTTTTTTCTTTTCACGGACTTTCTCTTTGATGGCTTGTACACTGATGCGCTGGGCAGTACTCAGGGCATCAGCAGTGATCACCCGGACAGGTCCAGGAGCAAACTTTTCCCACCTATAGACAGGAAGAGGGACAACAAAAGCCATCACACATAAAATGAATGTAAACCACTGCAATCAACTCAGGCTTGCACCCAGCGTCACAAGGCTGAGAAGAATCACGGACATAGGAAAAGATCCAGGTAGGCAAGATTGGTGCTGGAAAAGTCTGATCACAATTGTTTGCCTTAGGGGGTGCCCAGTCCAAGGCCACCCTTTCATGAAAGGCGAAATGTTGCAAATCTGCTTGCTGCTGGGTGTCCACAAACTGTTGCAAATAGTTGGCCGCGTGGTGCAAGTTCCAAGGCTCTTGTTGCACAGCTCGAGCGGTTCGTAAGAACCTGAAACAATTAGAGCAGGGAGACGCCCTGAGGACATGCAGGACTTTAAAGTCATCTTCTAGAGCAAATGATTCAAGCAAAGAACTCATCACACTCACGGGTCCCCAGGGCTTTCCGCGGTTGAGCTTCCACAGTGGCACCTTCGACCCTTTGCAAGTAGTCAAAAGGCAAAGCCAGAATTGGCGGTTGGCTCAAAGATGCTGAGCTCACCCATTCTTTCACCAGCAACACCACATCGTTAGGATGCTTGGTGTAATCCTGGCAGGTGAGTTTGCCTAAAAATAAATATACCTCTACATTTTGCAGTTCCAAACAAGATGCCCATGGAATGCCAGCCTCCTCAGCAAATTCTCCCACGGTCCATGCCGTCTCCTGCGATGCATCATATTTGGGCAAGTCCTGGGACGATGGCAGTGGGTTAAGAAATGAATGGCTTTGGCCAGACAATTTTGTGGATTATGGAAAAAGATGCCGAGCAGCTGCACGGCGTACAAATCTCCAGCAATGATTGGTGTGCAGTTGAGGATTGGACCCTCTTGGGTTGGGAACCAATCCACTGATGACGACATCGAACTTGTCCACAAAAGCTTTGAAGTTGAGAGAGCTTGTCAAGACTTCGCACACCAACACGCGCCCACGTGATGGCACCAAACGCTTCTTGATGGCTTCTACAAAGTCCTGACAGCCAACAGTCAGAATTCAGAATCACATTGCAACCCATGTTGCTGTCAAATGCAACGGAGGTCAGGCCTGTGGGTGCTCCAGGACATTGCAGCTTGCCAAGCACGCAGCAAGGACACTGAACCTTTGATCCAAAGGGCCATGGGTATGGCCAACATCGCCAAATACGTGGGTCATAGAAGACAGCCTTGGTTCACTTTGTATGTGTTACACAGGAGTGAGTGCATGTCAGTCTTACTGGCTACCAGTCTCAGGAGGCAGCCTGCCAAATTGAATTGGCAGACTGACCGCCCCAGCTGGCAATCAGCAAGTATAACATTGACATTGCAGCAAGGCTGAGCAGGGAGTACGCAAAACAATTTACCATGGATTTTTCATGTCCAAGGGCGCCATTTCAGTCACGGTCCGATGAGTCAGATGAACTTGAGTCATCCCAGGGAAACCTTTCCAATGAACGGTCTTGCCATCCTATGGCCACGATTCGGGCCGGGCGCCGCTCATAATACCACATGTTCCAAAAAGATTTGGCACTCTCAGACCGCCAATGGAAAGTTTGCACTGTCCGACATTGGGACCATGACATGCCCTTGGGTGGAGTGTGAAGTTGACACACTCGCAAGTGCAACACACCATGACCCAGGGCGCGGTTCACTGCTCGAAGGGCGGCATAGACCCGCCAGTTCGGCCAAGCGCCACGGAATCGGATCTCTGCCGGCCACACCATGATGCAGTCAGAAAAGTACTGACCAATGCGGGTCCGGAGTCGGTCACTGCGCTCCCGGACAAGGCGCAGGTTTTCCTCATAACTCACATCGTCACCTTCATCCAAAACAAAGCCATATTCACGAAGGTGCCCGCAAAACAACACGATCATCCACAGATGGTCAAAGAGCAGGGGTGCAACAGACACAGGCTTGTGCTCCATTGGTTGGTGACACTAACACGGGAAATGCTTGCGAGCCCAAAATTTCTGCACGCAGTGACATATGGTGTGCAAAAACCAGGTGGATACTTGTCTCCACTGACAGCCAGGCAAACCAAATCAGGGAAACACTTGCAGACTAGCTTCCGGGAGGACGCCGCCAAGTAGGCTTCTACCAGGCCCATGAACTGGTTCTTGCCCTCTTTGACACAGTTGTCAGTCTGCAAAGGCAGCAGGACAATCATGATGGCTGCCACGCGCGAAATTAACACAAGTAATCTGCAATCAACATAAACTGAAAATTTCTGCCTCAAGCACACAATGGTGGGGAAGACTGGTATCCCGCTTTTTCAACTCCTCCATGGCAGTGTCCATGGCGTAAGCAAAGATGGTTGCTTCCGTTCCCGGATCTTTGGGGACATCACTCTCCAAGATCCAATAACATTCGGCAACCTCAGACAATGAGGAGCCAGAAGCACAACAACCCAAACACTGAAGCCCCACATGCACATCAGTATTGGACAAGACACTCCCCAGAACAGAGCTCCGTGCAAATGCAACTGAGGTCTCCAGAGGCCCTCTAAAGCCTTTGCACTGGAGGTGTTGCGGGGAACGCGAAACTTAGCTTCATCTGCAGCATCGATATCCACTTTGAACAGCTCATGTGCATTGTCCTTGCGACCAGGTCGAAGGGCATCTTCTGAAAGATGGTTGAATCTGGTTTGGGCCGCACGCCATTGCAGAACCATATCCAGATGCTCGGACTGAGCTTTGAGGACTTGCTGTCGGTCATCCCCCCGCGCTGTCTTGATCCTCTCAGTGAACTTGGAGCATGTAGTGCACCTTTCATTGCTGCATGTAACTGCACAAGTGATTCGAAAACTAATCATATTGCAAAAATCAAAGCCATGGGAGTTCTCAAGAATGGGTGGACGGGCCTCGCATGCTGACTGGGCTTCCTAAAGCCAAGACGGTCGCTCCAACTTTTGCAGGTGGCTTCAAACAGGGTCCGCCCAGCACGATCTTCTTGAGGAAGTTCGTGGCTATCAGCCCAGATTTCATACTCCGCCCGAAAAGCCTCCCATGTCATCCAGGTCAGAAACCTCTTTTGTCGCCCACGGATGCCTCGCACAGCAGAGATGACGCCCTCACAGGAAAGGTGTTCTTCATACCTTTCCGCCCAACACATCCCATAAAGGCCAGCCAAGTTTGCCCAAAAACCCGGCACTGGCTAGCCAGAATGGCCCACAGACGGATGCCCAAAAGCTGGCAGCCGAAACAACACGGCCAGCCAGACCTTACACACTTCCAGGCAGCCAGGCCTGAAAGGCTGGCACACCTGAACATTGTCGCAGCCAGACCTGGCAAGCTGGCACACCAAAACAGAATTTTGGTAGCCAGACTTTCCAGGCTGGCACGCGACAACCAGACTCCACCCAACGAGCCAGACTGGCACAGCCTAGCCCACCCACACAGACGAGTGGCCACCCAAATCTGCGACATTGGCAGCGCAAGGGTTGAAGTCTGCTGTTGCTGCATCTACAAACGCCGTGCTTTCAGGTCCACATGGTTGCAGAAGAGACTCAGGCAACCCTTGGTCTTCGGCGCCAATGATGCCTCAGCCAGTTTGGATTCAATATTCTACTATCCAAAAAAAAACAAAAGGGAGTTGACTGCCCTGCGGCCCAAAAACAACTTGTGCCCAGCAGGGATCGGACATATGGCTCATATTCTGCAATGTCTTGCTCAGCCAACGGTTCTGCCTCAAAAAAATGCAGACAGGATCGGCTGCTATATTGCACAACAAACAATCACTTGTCCAAGCTGAATGGCCAAGTAGTTGTATGCATAGTTCAGGAATCCTTCCACACTGTGCCGCATCTTGGAACACGTGTCTTTCTTCATGAGGCCATTCATGTTTCTCATGTCGGCCGGGACCAGCCCCGTACCAGTGTGTGGAAGCAAGCGGTTCACCTTCAGTAGCAAAACGCAAAAAATTAAAATGAACTGAAGGCAATCTGAAAATGAACTGAAGGCAATCGCACTTCACACATCAATCACATGAGTTTACATTTCTTCCATTAGGCTGAAGCACCCTCTTCACATTCACACCCAACAGGGAACAGAAGGCACTCTTGCAGACTCGGAAGCCACAAAGACGGTATGTGCTCCTACTCTGTTCCTAGCAGATCACAAAAGAGCAAAAAGATTTGACTCAGGAACTCATGCTGGAACACGAACAGGCCTCCCCCAAATTTGAACTCGAAAGCAAGGACATGAGGTGGATGTTCTTCTCTTGGTTTTCCATGGCATCCATCTTCGCTTTCATGTTCTTCACCCGCTCATTGTCTGCCAGCTTCTGCTCGCAACCCAGGCTACAGCAACCAAGCCTGAATGAGGTGGCAAGGCCAATTTGGGCCTTTCAAATGAGCCATTCGGACAGCTGAGAAACTTTTCAGGGCTAAATTTCAGCCGCTTCACAGGCATCTCAACCAACGGCTCTGGGGCACTGAAGTCCCGCAGCCCACCATCATCATCTGGCAGCACAAGTGGCATGGCCAGACTTCTCAGCTGGCTGCCACGTTAGCGAAGTCAGGAGCCAAAAGGGCTGTGTGATCAACAAGCTCACTTGCATCACGAATGCACAACTGTTCACACTCACTCTGTACACCCTGCAACTTTGGTAAAGCAGTTTAGATGATGTGCAAAATTGTTTCGCAACAAATTCACACCAGATCACACAAAGACTGTAAACACCTAAACAACCCATGATTAAATCATACAGTGCGCCAGCAGGGAGCAACCCCAAATTAACTTTTAATACAAAAAGCACAAATATGTGCAAAAACCAGCATCCCCAAATCTAAAAGGCAACAACCCCAAATGCCCCAACTTAGATTAACTGCTGATAGGCACGTGGGGGGAAGTGGAAATAAAGCCAAGTGTGTTAGGTGATCAAGGTGTGGGAACATGCAAGGGGGTCTTTGGTGGGTCTGCCTCTGCCTTAGTTTCAGACACACTCCATATGACCCTGGAACGGGAGTTTTCCAGAAGGGTCGCTCGTCGGATCCGTGGATTAGGGAGTATGATGCTCGATCCTGTGTCTATCAATTTGGCCGCAATAAAACGTACATCAAAGAGTAGCCAATCAATTTTTCTAAGGGTGGAAACGGATCCATATAATGCCTGCATTGGGATGTTGCAAACAAGTACATGCATGCAGTGTATGCTTATGATGAAGCTCTGAACATGGAGGCACATCTTTGCACATCTATATAGGTTTGATGAACCAGGCTTCAGCTGAGAAAAAAGAGTGTCAAGCATTCTGTGACCATTGAGGCTGCAGACATTCTTGCTTCATAGGTTCTCAGTGTGCTGCTTAGCTTTTGCTGGAAACATTGTGCAAATAATGCCCATACCTAACACCTTTAGCTTGCAAGCTCACAACTAATCCTATAGCAAGGGCTCAAGTGAAACAAGCTCAGTTGGTTCTGTGAGCAGAGATGGAAGCTTCTCCAGCTTGTGCAGCACCTCACCCTGAGCCAGTTGAAGCATTTCCAGCTCCAGGTGAACCTGTACATCCTCCCAAAAAGCAAAAGGTGCAAGAGGATGTAGCTTGTGTAGCACCTCACCCTGAGCCAGTTGAAGCATTTCCAGCTCCAGGTGAACCTGTACATCCTCCCAAAAAGCAAAAGGTGCAAGAGGATGTAATGAAATGGGTTGAGGGCATTCCATTTGTCCAGCACTACAAGGATGGCCATGTGTATGTTGGCAGAGTGAGGCTGAGTATAGAGGGCACTATAGAGAAAAAGATTGTAAAGTGTCATGATTGCCTGTGCACAGCAGCTGCAATGGAGTACAGACAAATGTACTGCGCTTGCTTCTGTCACATTTTACAAAATCACTATACTCAAAGGGCATTGGAAGCTGATTGCAGGGCCAGAGTGCCTGCTAGCTGGGCGACACAGAGCTCATAGCTGTATAGCTATATTGCTTCCATAGGATGAAGCTTGATGAAGGTATGAAGGTATGAAAAGACAGTGAATATCTTGTACATATGTTTTCAAGCACCTTTGTACATACTCCAGAAATGATACAAGCTTCAAGCTGTCATGAGCATTTACAAATGATTGCATGTGAACATATGGCTCATTGAGACTTGTAAGAACATCACATAGCTAATTGTCTTGTACTATACTTTGCATATGTGGTCAAGCCATGTATGCTTTTGTTGAGTTTCATTGTGCATAGCCATGTCATGTATGACATCATGCTTACAAGACTTGCTTGCAGGTGGGCAAAAGGTAGCAAAAGGTACACAGTTAACAACACACCATGTATACTACGACTTTTTGCTTTCACAACTTAGCCAGTGCAGCTGGCATGTCGCCTGCAGCTTGTGGCAGCTCTTGCTGATGTGGAGCCAAGGAGGCAGCCTGCCTGGTGCTTTGGGTCTACACCACCCACTTGGCTGCATTTAGAGCTTCAAGCTGCAAGCTTCAAGCTGCAAGCTTGAAGCTGCAACCTTGTAGCTAGTGGTAAAGCTAACTCCAATTGGTTGTTCTTAAAGCATTAAGATTAGAGGAATTACGGAGCTCCTTGATCATTTTAATTTCATACCCCCCTGGATCATGCAAGATGGTGAAGAGAATCTTACAAGCTCCATGCATAAAGCCCTGAATATGCAATTTGCTTCCAACAAGGACATCATTATTCAATTTGCTTCCAACAAGGACATCACAAGCTCTATAGCTAGGCTTCAAAGGAAGTGTTGTATGCATGCATTGTTGAAGTTGGAGGGTACAATTTGCAGAAAGCAAAAGCAACAGTAAACGAACACCATATATGCCCTAGACTTCCAAGACCATTAAAACAATGGTTGACCTGGTTTTTGTAGTGTAAAAATCCTTAGTTGATTCGGTAAAGCCTATTAAATTACATTAAATTAATGGTTGTTGGAAGCCTAGGGTATACCCAGACACTCCATGCCTGTCATATATGCCGATCAGGCCAGGGCAGGCCTCCCGCATGCTGCCCGCGGCCCCGCGGCACGGTGCCATTCGACAGGTGCTTTGGGCGACGGTGTGGCGTTTGGGGGGAAGGGTGGGGAAGGGAATGAATCAGAAGAGTTGTGGATTCACAGCTTGAAATCCCTGGTGAAGATTGGATTTGTTTCAAGCTCGGAAGCACCTATTTTTTGGGGAGGTCCAATCAATGAGAAGGTTGGTGAAACATTTTGCCCGGCTGTTGTCGCGGTTGTCCACTGGGGCGACACTGGGGTGGTTTGGTTTGGAGTTGGAAGAGATTACATTGGTTTTGTTATGCTTTGTTGCTTTACCGAATCAACTAAGGATTGCACACTACAAAAACCAGGTCAACCATTGTTTTAATGGTCTTGGAAGTCTAGGGTATACATTTGCTCCATGTATTGCCCTATGCGATAGGTCACGCCGACTCCGAAATCGACGTCCGGCACATCGGATCTGCACCCACACCGGAACGCCTGCGATCGCTGGGACACGAGTGTTTGGATACATGTTGGTTCCCACTTCCAGAGAGAACGTTATGAGAAACAGAGCAGCAGATTATCGCGGTCGGCGAAGCTTCTGGTCGATGGACATCGGCTTGTTTTCAGCATCAGATCACGATACCAGGGCAGTTCCTGAGCCTAGGGGTCCTAGACCAGCACCCTCATTCTGAGAGACTGCTAGCTGGGACCCAGGCCCGAGAGACTGGGCACCATGCCCAA